AGTGACAGACTCAGGTGTGTGGTTATTATAGTTGTCAAGGGATTGTGTATTATTTGCACTAACCATACTCCATAGATATCACTGCTCTGTACTATAACTGTGAATGATATTACAATGTTTGATGTAATATTCAGGCTTGGTGTGACTGGTCAGTAAAGAGACAGCAAATAGATCGATTTTATTATCCTCAAGGTTTGATTGGTTGTTGTAATGGGAGGAGTACGGACTGGGAGGAAAACAGAACCAAACCCGGAATATAATTGAAAAAGGTTTATTTACAGTGGAGATCAGCTAATTATTTACAAGTCAAGTCAAGTCAAGTCAGATTTATTTATAGAGCACATTTAAAACAGAAACTGTTACCAAAGTGCTTACAAGCGGGATCTGAGGCTGTGGAACAGAGGAAATGGATTAGTTCCTGGAAGGTGACATCAGCCAGCAGAATCTTGGTTTCTTACAGTTGTGATGTTAAAGGCAGCAGGAGGAGAAGGCTGAGGGGTTTATCCAAACTTGAAGGTCCAGGTAAGTAGAAAGGCGAGTGGTGGATGACGTGAGCACGCTGCAGGTGAGTAGCATATAGGAGGCTCTTAATTCATCAGGTAGGTGATCCAAAAGATTGGGCTCAGGACAGCAGTACTCTGGAAACACGAAGGCAAAAACACAAGGTAAGTACTTTAGCATATAAGTACACTAAAAGGCTGGAGGCACAAGTACCTGTAGGTAGGATAATGTTCCAGCAAGGAATGAAGCCTCAAGTCCTGGAGCCAATCAGGGGAAGGACCTTCAGCTGCAGCTTCTCACAAGCACCACCCTTGCACTCAGGTCCTCGGGGGAAAGAGGCTGAAAAACCCTACATTGATATGATACAGTTACATGTCTCCATCTTCCACAACCAGCTCCCTGACATGTCTCTGCTTGCAGCTGCACTGCTGATAATAAGAGGGGGGCTGGTTGAATGCTGGCGCCAGGGTGATTCTACAAAACTAACTTTTTCAGTTCAGGACGTCAGAACGGGTCAAAGCCTCAAAAAGGTGAAAGTGTTGATAAGTGTGAACTTGAAATGATCTTCTGTGATTGCTGGCTGTTCTCCAAATATCTGATGAAGCTTATGATGTTTGAGAGTCTCTTTTTTTCCACAACGATGGTAACCCCAGTGAGTCACTCTCACCCTTTAAACATATACTTAGAAGTTTTCTGGTTTCAAACAAATCTCTGAATAGAAAGCAAACACTATAGAGATTCTTCCAGGAGTTTCTGGTGTCAGCTTTTCAACATCTAACAAAATGAGCACATTACTGTAAATTTAAAGCAACAACAGAAAAGACATTCATGCTACAACACTGCTTTTCCCCTTTAAACCTAACAAAGGCAGCATTTCTGTTCTCTTGCACATAACAAGTCGGCATTGCAGAATCAGCTGATGGACAACAGGCTAGTTGTTGTGTCAAATGAGCTAAATTGTGCATGGGTCAGACTCTGAACTAATTCTCCATATTGCTGTTGGTGGGTGATTGTAAAGGGTTGTCATGATACTAGAGTTCAACTTGATATAAGTTCAAAAAGCGTTCAATACAAAAACAACTGGACTTTATTTGCAACAGAAGAGGAGCGAAACGTCTTCTGTTACAAATAAAGTCCAGTTGTTTTTGTATTGAACGCTTTTTGAATTCATCATGTCCTGGATGACTGAGAATCTTCACCAGCAACTTGATATAAGCTCTCTGAAAACTGCATAATGCCCGCTAACTGTTTTTAATATAGTGGGAAAATGGCCAAATATGAACTTTTATTTCTGATTTTTTTTTTCAAGCACACATCACACCGAAGATTTCTAACAGTTTGACAGTGAGAAAGCTAAAGCAGCTCTATTTTCATTTAATACTTTCATCTTTTCATCATTACACTTATTGCCCTCTACTGAAGTCCATCCATCCATCCATTATCTTTACCCGCTTATTTCATTTTGGGTCACGGGGGTCGCCGGTGCCCATGTCCAGCAATCACTGTGCGAGTGGCGGGGTACACCCTGGACGGGTCTCCAGTCCATCACAGGGCCACATGGAGACAAACGAGACAAACAACCATTCACTCTCTCACTCACACCTAGGGACAATTTAGAGTTACCAATCAGCCTAACATACATGTTTTTGGTCTGTGGGAGGAAACCGAAGTACCCGGAGAAAACCCACACATGCACGGAGAGAACATGCAAACTCCACCCAAAAAGGCCCCCGGGCTGGGATTTGAACCAGGGACCTGCTCGCTGAGAGGCAGCAGCTCTACCAGTTGCGCCACCATTCTGCCTGTACTCAAGTCATAATGGCGTAATTGGATTTGCCCATGTCTCTCTCTGTATGTGTGTGTGTTTAGCTGTCTGTTAGTGAAAATAAGTTTAATTAACCACTGGATGAGAACCCAAATAATTATTTTGGTCTGCAGACTGCCTTAGCGCCAGGGAAATCCCTTTGTATAATGTTTTGTGTCACTGCGAAGCTTGATTTATTCTCAAACACTCCAGAACAATAAAAACCTTCACTGTCATAAACAAAACAAGCTTAGTACAAGGACAAATGATAAACTGCCAAATTTCAACAAACTGTATGATTTTGAAGCTTTTAAGACGGAGAATTTGAAAATACTAACTCATTACAGTAGTCCCTCGATTATCACGGGGGTTACATTCCAGACACCCATGCGATAGGTGAAAAATGGCGAAGTAGGAACGCTAGACTTATTTTAGTTTTATATTTTAAGTCTTTATAAACCCTTCTCACACTCTTGCAATGTTCTTAACAATCTTCTAAACTCTTAAACCTACGTAATTTTAACAACATTAATATTTGTACTGTACCGTACTGTAAAATTTTATGGGTATTCACCAGCTCTGCAGACCAGCAGCTCAGTTCTGGTCGGGCTCGGTTCCAGTTCGACAGACCTACCCTGCAGTGACGAAGCCCACCGCCCCGTCCAGGTTGATGTGACGTGGATAATTGAGCTTCAGGATTATTTGCGACTTTCCTCCCAGTTCTGTGTGCTTAATAGATGGGTCGTTACTTCTGACTTTGCGTTGCTAAACTTTTCCTCCATTTCGGCAGAAAGCAGTAGCCAAAAGCACTGTTGGTTTCTGGGTAGTGTAGTTCTTTTGACTGGCATTACAGTATTTTTTTTTTTCATTTATCCTTTATTTATACAGGTAGTCTCATTGAGTCACAAGAACTCATTTTCAAGAGAGGCCTGTGTTTGGGAGCAGATGGTGGGGGTTACACAGTTGCCCCAATCTAGGACCCTTGCTCATGGGCCCAAAGTGGGGCAAATGAGGGTGGAGGCAGGTGTGGGTGTTTCACCTTTTCCACCCACATTTTGACATTGACGGTACCGCGAGTTGAACCTGCGACTTTCCAATCACAGGCCCATCTTCTCTAGCTTCTGCGCCACCACTCCCCCTAAATAGTATAGGCTTATTGAAAGAAAACTACAAAATGGCTGTGCCTGTCCGAAGTTTTTTTTTTTTTTTTTTTACTTTTTATCCCATACTATCCCAATCATCTGAGTAATATTAAAGTTGACAATCGTGTGTCGTGTACAGTCTTACGTTAAAAACCCGCAAAAGAGCGAGTCCGCGAAAGTTGAACAGCGAAGTAGCGAGGGACTACTTTATTGAAAATTCTTTGTTGTGACTCGTGCCGGCATGGATCACAAATATCTCATGAACTACTAGATGGACTTTAATGAAAACAACAAAGTCCATGCTTAATAATCCAGGTATACAATCCAACATTTTTAAGTCAGGTCATCTGGACAGTTTCTTTTTTTGTGCTGAAATGTTTCGCCTTTGATCCGGAATCACAAGCAGAACTGGTTTGTTCCACTTTAGAGTAAGCTGTTGGAGGAAGAATCAGTTTTGTTGTGTGTTTCCTTGACTGATGAAGCCTTCCGGATCGAAGGTGAAACGTTTCAGCACAAAAAAAGAAACTGTCCAGATGACCTGACTGAAAAATGTTGGACTTTAATGAAACTTTCAGAAAGTATTCATTGATTAGCTTTTAGTCAGCCAAATTCAAAATGGCTGCCACAGCCAACTGACATTAGATAACAACAACAAAAAATTACAACTCAGCCAGTTTTACAGATACTCAGATAAAATTTGATGTGGTAGTAACAGACCATTATTCTCAACACGTACTCTGAGCAGTACACATTGTACAAACTTTTTGGATTAAACTTTGGCAATAATTGTTGGAGTCAACTATGTCTGCAAAATTTCTCATGAACCACTGAAGAGATTTTTTTATGAACCCAACAGTTCAGGCTGCTGTTGTTACGTCATATTGTTTTACATTATTAGTGTTTATCGTATATCTTAGATCTTTTAGCATACTGTTTGGCGTCTGTTTAGTGTATATCTTAGATCCTTATTTACTGTTTCTTTTTATACTTTATATTTTGCTACTTTTGGGTGTGACTGGGACTCTGTTCCACCTCATGTACCACATGTGATGGAAACGACAATAATGTTGACTTGAACTTGAACTTTAACTCTAAATGGCTGCCACAATCTGTCAGCGTTAGCCAACACAAATATAAATGGAAGAAGATCTATAACTGTTAAACATACAGGTATTGAGCTAAAGTTTGATGTGGTAGTAGCTGGGAGTCATTCACAGTACATACGCTGAGAGCTAACATATTGTGCAATGTTTGAAGTAAGGCACAAAATTGAACAAGACAATATTTTCAAGTTTGGCACAGCTGAAACAAATATTACTTCATGTGTTTGTGACACACCAAATTAGAAAAGGAAGTTTTAAGTTTAATTTGTCACAAATTTTTATTTGGGGTGTCAGAAAATATCCCATCAAAAAACTGCCACATGACAATTTGTTCAATTGGTTTCAGAGGTTACCACATCTTGACGTCTCTCAACAACAACCATGAATGGTTTTATGAATGACAGAAAATTAATGTTTGAATGCTTTTGATTGTATGTTTGTATGTTACAGGGTGGGACCAAACCTCAGCTGGAGCAGGATGTCAGTCTTGAACAGGTTGCCTTTGATGAACGCTGTGATTGCTTTTCGTAAGTTTCAGCTAGAAACAGCAGCTCATTTATTTGTTTTATTTCAACCGTTTGTATCCACAATTTCATCTTTTCATTAACTACTCAAAGTTCTTGACCGTAGGTGAGAGTAGGAACAGAGACCAACTGGTAAACCGAGAGCTTTTCCTGGCAGCTCGGCTCCACCACAGCGGACTAGTACAGAGTGTACTGGTCACTCCACTACAGTGTAGAGCCACTCCATTCTTCCATCATTTATGAACAAACTCCCAAGATATTTGAACTCCTCCACTTAAGGCAGTACCTCACTCCCAACCCGGAGAGGGCAAACCACACTTTTTTGACATGGAACATGACCTCAGATTTGGATGGGCTGATTGTCATCCCAGCCATTTCATACTCTGCTTCAAATCGCTCCAGTGACAGCTGGAGTTCACGGCACAATGACACGAATAGGACCACATCATCCTCAAATAGCAAAGACAGAATCCTGAGGTCACCGAACTGTACTCCCTCTGCCCCCTGACTGCATCAAAAACCTGTCCATAAAAGCTGTGAACATAATCTGTGACAACAGGCAGCCCTGGTGGAATCCAACTCCCACCCTAAAGGGGTCCTACTTACTGCCGGCAATGCGGACCAAACTCTCACACTGCTTGTATAGGGCCAGAATAGCCGGTAGCAACAGACCTCTAATCTCATACTCACAGAGCTTCCCCCACAGTGTACCTCAAGAAACATGGTCAAATGCCTTCTCCAAGTTCACAAAACACATAGAGGCATCATGAGCAAACTCCCTTGCCCCCTCAAGGACCCTAGTGAGGGTAAAGAGTTGATCCAATATTCCATGGCCAGGACGGAACCTGCATTGTTCCTCCTGAATCTGAGATTGGATCATTGATTGGACTCCCTTCTCCAGCACTCCTGAATAGACCTTACCAGGGAGGCTAAGGAGAGTGATGCCCCTAAAATTGGAGCACACCCTCCAGTCTCCCATTTTGAAGAGGAGAACCACCACTCCAGTCTGCCAATCCAGTGGTACTGCCCCCGATGTTCATGCAATGTTGCAAAGGTGTGTCAACCAAGACAGCCCCACAACATTCAGAGACTTATGGAAATCAGGGCGAATCTCGTCCACCCCTGGAGCCCTGCTGCCGCTGAGCTTTTTAACTACCTTGGTAACCTAGCCATCTGATTGAACTCACTGCCAGGTAGTGATCAGTTGATAGCTCAGCTCTTTTCTTCATCCAAGTGTCCACATTCTTTTTAGGCCTCCTTTAAACTTGATGAATTCCCCCATTTTACCCACCTAAACAAATGGCGTGTCTGGATCACAGCAAAATTGGAAAACATCTTCAGAGTGAAGGCATCCATGATGCTGCTGTGCTTTTTGGTTTTTCCTGCTTTATTTCTGCATCTATACCCTCACCTTGGCATGACTCTGGAAGCACATCAGAGTTTTTCCATGGCATCGTTAAATCTGAAAAGAAGAAATACTTCTCCCAAATCATTGCTTCAAACAGTCATAGTCCCCATGTTCTTTTTAATACAGTAAATTCCATTTTAAACATGCCTCAGTCTGCCAGCATGGAGGCCTCTGTTGACATCTGCAACGACTTTACCAGATACTTTGCTGATAAAGTAGAGTTGATTAGGTCATCCATCCTCCAGTCCACAACTGACCCCTCTGTCTTTGTCCCTTGCTCAGCTGTCTTCAAACAGTTTGAACCCATTTTACTCCCATTTCTAAACAAAGTCATTGGTCAGATGAAACCCTCTGGTTCCCCCACTGACCCCATTCCTGCGTCGTTTTTCAAACAAGTTCTACCCACGATTGGACCCTCTGTTCTTACTATTATAAATAGTAGTATTGTGACAAGTGTGGTTCCCGATGTTTTCAAACATGCAGTAGTTCATCCGTTAATTAAGAAACCTGGACTTGACCCTTCGACTTGCTCAAATTTCAGACCAATCTCAAAACTTCCCTTCCTGTACAAAATCCTGGAGAAAATAGTTTTCATTCAATTAAAAAAGTTTTTGATTGAGAACAGAATTTTTGAGATTTTTCAATCTGTTTTAAGCAACTCCACAGCACTGAAACAGCTTTAGTAAGGGTTTGTAACAATATTATGATATCAAATGATTCTGGTCAATTTGTGGTACGCGTGCTCCTGGACCTTACTGCTGCTTTTGATAATGTTGACCACAGTATCCTTATATCACGGCTAGAACAGTGGGTTGGGATCACAGGTGCTGCATTACAATGGTTCCGCTCATACCTGAGTGGCAGGAATTTTTGTGTCAAGGTTGGTAATAATGTGTCTGCCTCATTACCTCTTTCTTGCAGGGTCCCACAAGGTTCGATTCTTGGACCCCTTCTGTTCTCACTTTATTTGCTCCCACTGGGGTCCATCCTGAGGAAACATGGTCTTTCATTCCATTGCTATGCTGATGACTGCCAGATCTACCTGCCTGTGAAACCAACAAGTGTTTGCTCCATTCACCCTCTGTTAAAATGTCTGGACGACATTAAGGCCTGGATGGCTTCAAATGTCTTAAGTTTTAACAATGAGAAGACTGAAGTCATTGTCTTTAGCCCTAGCTCAACTGCCGCCACTGATCCTGTCAACCTGGACTCTCTTCAGCCATATCTGAAGCAGTCTGGTAAAAATCTCGGGATGGTTTTAGACTCTGACTTCAAGTTTGACAAACCAACTATGTTCTGCAGAAAAGCTTCTTCCAACTCAGACAGGTAGCTAAGCTCAAGCCAGTATTGTCCAGACCCGACCTTGAGAAACTAGTCCACGCCTTTGTCACGACCCGATTGGACTATTGCAATGCACTCTATGCTGGGATCAGCCAGGCCTCCATTTCACGTCTTCAGCTCGTCCAGAATGCTGCTGCTCAGCTTTTAACCGGAACTCGTAGGTCTGAACATATTACTCCAGTTCTGTCCTCCCTTCACTGGCTCCCTGTTCGTACGGGGATAGTCTTTAAAATTCTTCTGTTGACCTTCAAATGCTTAAATGGCCTCACACCCCTTTACCTCTCTGAGCTTCTGGAACCTTACGTTCCCTCTCAGGCCCTGAGATCATCTGATCAGCTGCTTTTGGCTGTTCCAAAAACAAGACTGAAGCTCAGAGGAGATCGGGCTTTTCCAGTCATGGGCCCCAAACTCTGGAACAACCTGCCCCCCAACATCAGGCAGGCCACCTCCCTTCCTCACTTCAAATCTCTGCTAAAAACACATCTGTTCTCGCAGGCATTTCACACAGTGTAAATTGATCTAGTGTTTTTTGTTCTGTGATCTTATGTTTTAAATACTTTTTATTAATTCTTCAGTTATTATTATTAGTGTATTGTATTTTTTTCCTCTTTAATTTTACTCCCATTGATTGTTGTTGTTGTTAAGCACTTTGATAACAGGTTCTGTTTTAAATGTGCTCTATAAATAAAGTTGACTTGACTTGACTTTGTCACAATCGTAGTTGTAGCATAGGCATGACACTAATGTGGCCAGGTCAGATTAAATTCTTGACGACCAAGCCACACTATGCAGGCTGCATGTCATGCTGACCCCATGTTTTTTTTACTGTAGTTTATTGTTGTCTGTACTTTATGTTATCTGTCTAAAACAGGTCTCTCTTGTAAATGAGTCCTTGTGACTCAGTGAGATTAACCTGTGTAAATAAAGATTGAATGAATGCTCCTCCAAGACCTTGATACTCTGCTTTCACAATCATAGGCCACCATGACTTCACTTTGGGATCTTTGGACCTGCTCAAACCACTGTGGACCTTGTGTTAATTATTCATTCATTATGAAGAACTTACCAAGGCCTTGCAAAATCATTAAGTTCTGGCTGATTTTTGTTGCGATGTAGCAAGGCTCTGTGTCAAAAGGGTCTTAATTTTCTTTCTTTGTTCAGAAGGCTAAAAACTGAATGAATAATCACCCCACTAAAACAAAAAAAATTGCCAAGTTGTGGATGCTGCAGATCTTCTGTCTTATTTCTTTTTATTCCTTTTTGTTCCTTTTGGGACATAAGATCACTATCATCTGTCTCAACTGGCTTCTGTCACAGGCCACATGCTGTGCTTCACCCCAAGTAAGATTCAACTCCTGCAGCTCTGATGTCACTGTCCTTGACTATGTTGTTTTTAGCCTTCTCTGTTTCCTTTTACCAGTTGGGGTCCAACGCATTGCTACTGTAGGTATACGCTGACTGTCCATCCTCATGACCCAGCCATTTAAGACAACTGTTTTATCTCCACCTTCAAACTGTCACACTTGGTCCTCTGGTATAGACTGTCATCATTAGTCATGCTCATGGGCCAGAATATGCCAAATATTCTCCTCAGAGGGCTGTTGTGAATGCAATCCAGTTTTCTTGTATCAATCTGTTTTACACTCCAATGCTCCAAACTATACAACAAAGCAGATTTAACATCGCTGTGGTACAGCCTCAGCTTGGTTTGGAGGTGATGATGCTTTGACTGACTTTACGGATTTTCTGTAGTGCGGTCTTAAGGTGATTTATCATCATGGTGGCAGGAAATCCATTACTTGGAGCCCGAACACATCATAGCTACATGACGCCGAGGCTACGACAGCGATCAGGACAAGGTCATGGAAACCAACCAAGACACATGAGATTCTTGTAGCTGCAAGCTGACCCATTTAAGAGAGTTGTGGTGAGGATGCAGGAAATGGCAAGAAAAACTTTTTTTAACAAGCATGACACCATCATAGCCTTGACATGAGGGACCTTTTCTAAACTAGCTGTGATCCAGCTAGTGGTAATCCTGTGAGAAGAGGCCCTTAGTTTTCTTTCCAGTTTTGGTGATGACAGATTTCTATTAAATGCTTCCCAGTGTCCAACAATTAATTTGCACCCTCTTTATGTAGCATAAAATTACTTCCTTTTGTTATTTCCACCTGTTTGCAAAAAAGATTTGCCTAATAAACCCAGTGGGGCAGGGGATGCACCATCAACAGTCTGGATCCAGTATCCAGAGTAATGGCTGCTGAGACAATAAGAAAACCTGCACAAAGATTTCATAATAGACAAGCAGCTGCTGTCTATCAATCAATAACCTGACTTCATGCGAATGTTTATCCAAGCAGCTTTGCTCACAATGCATCTATTTTAGCCTTTATTTTGCTTTTTGATGATTTATGATTTATGGTGTTCTCTTTCTCTTGTGCACCTGTTTGTGAATATTTATGACTAGCTGTCACTCAGATGTATTCAGTCTAAGGGAATATAGAAATTAAATGTCCAAAAACGTTAGACGTTAAGTAGTCAGTACACCCATGACCATCTTGATGCATGTCATTTATATTTTCTATGGTAAGCCAAAACGTTATCACAGTAAGCACAAATTTAACCAGGTCTCTCTTGAAAAAGAACATTTAAATCTCAAAGACTGGTACTTAGATAAATAAAGAGTATAAGTAGAATTTACAGCCATCACTGTTGTGCTCTGTTTTGTTTTTGATGCAGTGGCGCTGATCTGACAGCATTAGTGAGGGAAGCATCTGTGAACGCCCTGAAGGCCTACCTGAAGTCCCAGAACTGTGGTAACAATTTACTTCCTCTGTGTATAACTCTTTGTGAACATAGACTGTTTGGTGGCCAGACTTGTCGCTAAAGTCCATCTTTAGCCTTCAGCGTGCAACTGGATTGTAAATACATGTCTGAACTGCCTCAGTTTACATTAAAAATGTTTGAACTAAAATCACCTTGGAGGTTGTTTGGATCCCTTTTATCCACATACATTTTATGGTTTGAACACAGTCTGTCCTGAGCCCAAGTGTAGGACTACTGAACTGATGTGGCCTCACACAAGTAGCCAGTTGAGGCAGATGGCTGCACATCCTTAGCCTGGTTCTGACGGAGAATCCAAAAATAAAAAACAAAACAACTTGATTTCTATTCTGTAGACGGAGACGTTTTGTATCCCATCTGGGTAGCTTTCTCAATTTGACAAAACTTTAAGGTGTGGAGTTCAAAGCGTTTTAACTGCACATGAAGCTCCATTATGTAAGCTTGAGTCACATTCAGATTAATCTGCACACATCTCGTGTGTGTAGGAGTTGATTTGGTGCAAAAATCAACACATCAGTTTTCTTTTAAAAATCTCCACCAAACAGTTGTGTAGAATAGTGATGATGTTTATGTAGTCTGTAGGGTTTAAGGAAGATTAAATTTTTGTACTATAAGAGAAGCAATGACTAAATAAACTGAATTGCTGTTTCACTGGACACAAAGGAAATGTAGAGAAAGAAAATAATAAGACTGAGAATACACCCCTGAGGCCCCCCGTGTGTCATAGAAGCCAGAGCAGCAGAAGCACTTTTGTTCTGTTAACAGTAGGAACAAAAGAACTTTCTGTTACAAAAACGGGAAGTAAACCAGTTATGAGCTACACCAGAAATCCTCACCCAACTTTGACCAATAAGAACGGTGTGGCTGAAGTTTAGACTTTAGATCTGAAGCTGTTTGCAAAAATATATTTAGTCTTTAATTTGTTATTTCAGCTTGTTTGGCTTATTTTTTGATGCTGTGACAGGTTTTAAATGTACTGGTACATACCGTATTTTCCACCGTACATGTTGATCCACCCTGTAAGTCGCACCAGTCCAAATTTGTCTAACAAAGTAGAAAAATCCATAAATACGTTGCTTCACCGTATACGTCATCTATTATGCATCACCGCTGACAACCTGGAAATGTGGGCCGGTGTTGTGCCAAAGATCGATTGGCTGCCAAATGGTGGCCACGGGAGCGTGCACGGGAGGAATTTAACACAAATTTAACAAGATTAACACTTAAAAACAAGTATTTGTTTGCTTGAAATTATAGTAAAGGTGTGTCTCAGTTGAACTTTTACTTAATAAATGCACCTCAATGGTCAAATCAATGCATTTTGCCAGGGCAGCGCAGCGAAATGAAGCTGATTTGACGGTTGCTCCAGGCGAGCTGGGCCAAGGGGAGAGGCTATGGCAAGCCGGCTGTGTCATTAATAGCCACTTTTACCTATTACATGACACAACGGCATGCCATACAACTCGAGTGCCATATAGCAGCTGAAAATGGTAGTGTCCAATATTTTCAGTCAGAATGAATGAAAACGGTCATATCTCAGACAAAAATTTGTTTATAAATATGGGAAAAATCCATAAATACATCGCTTCGGCGTATAAATCGCAGGACATGCAAATTATGTGAAAACTGGCCGAAAAATACGGTAATGTAACCTCCCCCCTAGAGTCCACCCTAAAACTGGACCTGACTGGTGTCTCTGAGCTGCCTCTGATCTCAGCTCAGTTTGTTTGCCATTTCTCGCAGGTCTCACGTACTCCTCCGACTCCACCGCTGACATCAGAGTGAGCCGGCAGAACTTTGAAGACGCCTTCAGGACAGTTCGACCGTCCGTGTCCAAAAAGGTAATAAAATGAGCTGTGTTTACTCAGTTGCACCACTCAGATTGTGTGTGGGACTTTGGAAGCAGCGTGTTTGTTTTTTACAACTAAATGAGGGTAAATAAAAAAGAGGACGTCTTATTTGGCATTGAATTTTACATTTGATCTCGATCATGATTGCTGTGGCGTCCAGGATGAAGTTAGTTTATGAAGCAGGCACTTCTGTCATGTACCTGCTCTCAGATTACTGCAGAGCTTCCAGGAGAGCTGGTCTGACTTGTCTCTGCAGCTACCACACACTGTCTTCACACAACCAGAGGCAGTACCAGGCCAGGGCACACGTGCTGCTAAAGCTTCTCAGCTTTTCAGAGTTCTTCTTTTTGTTTCCTCTTTTGGAGCTTCTCTCATGTGGTTTAGTGTTTTAAGAGAACAAAGCCCAGCTCTAAAAAGACAGGACGTAACTTCTGAGCTTTTATTTAAGGTTGTGATTTTTATTAAGTAAACCTTTTTGAAGCGGTTGTGTGAAGTACCAAAAGGTTGTAATCATTTTACTTATCTGCAAAAATCAGGAGCTTGTTTGAGTTTTAGGGACATTTCTTTATTGACCAGGTTAACAAAAAGCTGCTCAGAATGTACCAAATAGAGATTTTTTTAAAGAATATTCCAGCTGTTTTGAAGTGTGGTTCTGCTGAAAAAGTTTGAACAAAAATTATCTAACCTGTTATGGATAGTTTTAAACAACCTCAGTTTGGATAAATAGAGTTTAACTAACAGCTAGTCTGAACGTAGCACCAAAGTTAGCAAAGTCCATGCTCAATAATCCAGGTATACAGTCCAACAATTTTCAGTCAGGTCATCTGGACAGTTTCTTTTTTTGTGCTGAAATGTTTCACCTTCCATCCAGAAGGCTTCATCAGTCAAGGAAACACACAACACAAAACTGATTTTTCCCCCAAAACAGCTTAGTCCAAAGTGGAACAAACCAGTTATGTTGGTGCTAAGATGGTGTCTTTGGCTCGGGTTTGTTCCACTTTGGAGTAAGCTGTTTGGGAGAAGAATCAGTTTTGTTGTGTGTTTCCTTAACTGATGAAGCCTTCTGGATGGAAGGTGAAACATTTCAGCACAAAAAAAGAAACTGTCCAGATGACCTGACTGAAAAATGTTGGGTAGCACCAAAGTGGATTTTATTAGTCTTAAAACATCTCCATCTTTCAAAATGCCATAATATCCATCCTTCTGTCCATCTATCCATCCATCTATCCATTCATCATCTTCTGCTTATTCCAAAGTCAGGTCTCAGGGGCAGCATCTTGAGCAGGGAGGCCCAGACATCTCTTTCCACAGCACCTCTTCCAGATCTTCTGGGAGGACACCAAGGAGTTCCCAGACCAACAGAGAGACGTAGTCTTTCCAGCTTGTCCTGGGTCTTCTCCCAGTTGGACATGCCCAAAGCACTTCCCTAGGGAGGCACCAAGGGAGCATCTTTACCAGATGATGCCCGAACCACTTCAACTGGCTCCTCTCAATGTGGAGGAGCAGTGGTTCTACTCTGAGTCTCTCCTGACAACTGAACTTCTCTTCCTATCTCTAAAGGAGAGTCCAGCTACCCTGCAGAGGAAACTCATTTCAACCTCCTGTATCCACAATCTCATTCTTTCAGTCACTACCCAGAGTTCATGACCATAGATGAGGGTAGGAACATAGACTGACCAGTAAACAGAGAGCTTTGTCTTACAGCTCACCTCTTTCTTCACCACAACAGACCGGTACAGAGTCCACAATACTGCAGATGTTGCACCAATCCATCTGTCAGTCTCTCGCTTCATTCTTCCCTCACTCGTGAACAAAACCCCGAGATACTTGAACTCCTCCACTTGAGGCAGAACCTCACCCTCGACCTGAAAATGCCATAATAGTTCACTATTAAACACTATTTACAAAAATGTTTACATCACCATCCGTTTAACATTAACCAAACATTTGAAGATAATTCTGTGTGAAATAGTGTCAGTTGATAGATGCAGCATTTTCATAAAACAATTTTAGAAAACTTCTGCTCAGATATTTGTGCAACGTGAAACTGATGGCAATTTTGAATAGTTTTGTTTGAATGAACCGCTATGAAATTTTGCAGACTGGCATTAGTTTCAAGGCAGCAGCAATCCACTTTGTAACTGGGTCAGCTTGGATAGTATGCCTTTAGGTCAGTCGGGCAGAGCAGACCCAAAGCCAACCGTTGTCATCCCAGAACTTTTAAAACTATCTACAACAGGGAAGATATTAACGTTTGTAACTTTTCCTCAGGACCTTGACTTTAAAATGGCTGGAATATTCCTTTAAATGCTCATAACGTGTGCTTGGAGTGTTTTAGTTGGCTAGAAACGTGCCCTTCTTGGCGGTCTTGTTAAGATCCAGTTTTATGAGGAATGCTTATTGAGCTGACTGTGTTTCCTGTACAGGACCAGGTGATGTACGAGCTGCTCCGAGAGTCCCTCAGCAGATGACCACCAAACCAAACCACAGACGGCACCAGAATCGTTTTGTTCATGGATCTCACTGTGGACGAATCATAAAACATGTTTTTTCCTTAATGTACGACTCCAACTTTTATTCAGTTCAGTTTGCTTATATGGCACCAAATCACCACAGAAGTCATCTCAGGACCGAACAGAAACATTCACACATCAAAATGTGATTAGCAACATTATCGAAGGAAGCCAGCACTGCTTTGTCTTCACTTCATCACGGTCTCCCATCCTGAGCAAGCACAAAGGCAACAGTGGAAAGGAAGAACTCCCTCGTAGCAGGAAGAAACCTCCAGCAGAACCAGGCTCAGGACGAGTGGTCATCTGCTTCGACCAGCTGGTTTGAGAGGACAGGAAGGAGAGACGGACTCAGAATGGCAGGTCCAGAAAGGAGGCGAGCAGGTCTTCCTCTGGGAGGAAAGACGACACACTTCTTCTAACACGTCTTTATTCTGTGGTGTTCAGGGACATCCTTTCCGCCGTTCTCCTCATTTGTTTTCACCCCGTCCCCTTCAAGTGTTCCAGCTCCACAGGGTTGAGCGCACAGCCGTGTTCTGCTCCGACACCTTTAACATCTGCACTGATGCAGCTGGAGTTTCTGCTGTGAACTGTACCCTGCCTCTGCCGTCCTACAGGCTCTGCTCCACAGGTCTTTGTTCTCACTACATCTACAAACTTTACATTAAAGTCCTTTGGACCTCTGGCAAGCAGAGAAACACATCTACGTTCTTAAAATACGTTGAGCTGTTAAACCGAAACAAGCACCTTTAAAACCTACTGGAACAAGCGTCGGACCCAAACTGCTCATTATACGCCTGACGACAAACTCCTTTTGTTGGAGGAAAAAAACTCGACGTTTACTCAAATAAACCACATGCACACATGGCTCTATTTTACTTTTTATTCTATACAGATCTAGGATCAGTTCACATCAATATGCATTAAATGTATACACATGAAGGCCGCTTGCTTCTGTCCCCATCAGCTGGACACGGTTTCAGTCCTGGAAGCCAGCTGTGGTCTCATGGCCCTCCTGGCCTTCACAGATTCGGTCCATGGGCATCTCCAGGATAAGAGAGTGTTTTGGAGACATTTTGTTTGTTTTAAGAGAAAGAATGTTAGTAATATTATGTCCTTAACTCCATAACCTCTGACCAAAATCCTGACACTTATTTTAAATGTTTTAATCTCGACTGACCCATAATACGTCCATCTTTCAACTGGTCTGATGGCACCAGTCAGAGCGTCTCCATTTATTTTAGAATATTCAGTAGAAATCACCGTACATGATGCGTCTAATAATCATTGGTTTGTCAAAGCATCCGGTTGTAAACGAGTCATAAATACTAATTATAGACGCACTTCATCCAGAAAACAATAAATCACAACTAAGTTTAAACGTTATGTACTGCTGACACTATGAAAATACTAAAACATATAAAATGATTATATCTGAGCTATAAATACATAAAATATGATGAGAGCCTACAGGAAAGGTCGAATATAAAATTTGAACGTTTTGGTGCTAAAGTTAGTTTCTAAAATAAGTCATTGTTTTTGTGAGGACAGAAACCAGTGGATTGTACTGTGTTTCTGTGGTTTGTTGATGGACGGAGTGCCTCCCAGTTTAATTACCTGAATGTTGTTGATGGGATCCAATTTTTTAGAGACTCCTAGTGTAACATGTACAGGTAATTAACCATGTAGTGTTGAAGCCAAGAATACCTGCTGTGATTAATTTGGTTTTACCACAACATTTACATGTTGTCCATAGTTGCCAGCATCAGTCTTGATTCCTAATCTAGAGATAATTGAGGTGTTGTCCTAAAAAATAAACATGTAAATCTGTTTCGAAGCCTCTCTCAGCTTCTGTACTGTGGTTTTGATGCTTTTTCTCCAGACTTTAAAACACCAGGGACCTTTGGACGAGTTCAACGACATTTCTCTGCATCTTAAATGTATTGACTGAACCTGAACTAAATGTTTTTTCTGTAGATGCCGTTGCATCGACAAAAGGCTCGACTTGCATCGTCTTAACACGGGATCTGTGCGATGAATCAAAAGATGGCTCGAGTTTTGAAACAAAGATGATTCTTACATTTGTTTTATTGCCTTTAGGTTTACAATACTGCATGAAATGAGAGGACGGGCAGGTCAGGAGCAGGTTTCAGTTAAAAAAACAGAAACCACCTGGAACTACAGGAACAGGTAAAAACAAGTATTAAACAGACAAATGTGCTCAGGTGAGCAGCTCAGCCTCAAGTCTCTTCTAGCTGCTGTGAATTAAAAAAGGCATTTCAGACACACAGGAGGTTAATATTCAGGTTACAAGTCAAGTTCAAATGGTCTGAGCATGAGAAAAAAACTCAATGTGAAGAACCCAAAGTCTGGTCACAGACAGGTGTAAGTATCTGTGGAGTGACAGACGGATCATGATGGTCCTACCTGATGCTTTGTGCTGTAAAGAATGCATCAGAAGCTGTTTCCCTGCAGCTGAAGACAATAAAACATTAACAGAAACATGACTCGGTGTTATGCTACATTTTGACTTCCTATCGTGTAACATCTTTTCACAATAAAAGCCAGCGCACTTGTTGGAGACGTCTCCGAGATTTACAGACCAACGTGTTCGTTCCAGACGGGTCTGCAACCTTTAACCTCCTCACTAAACTTTGTTCAGAGCCAACACGCTCTTAAAGCTTGAAATAAAGAGCTCGTTAGGTGAAAACACATGTTCAAAACTTGTTTTATGAAACTGGAGATCTAAAGTCATGTACTGGTACAAAATGTAATTTAAACACTGAACCATGTGAGTCCTGTACATTTATGAATAATAAATAAAGTGGTAACTTTGAAATGATAAAACACCTGAAAAATACTACTTTAATATGACTTTACATTCTCTTAATATAATTAATTTGAATCTTTTTATCAGTGATGCTGCTGTACTTTGTTCTCTGAATGGTTCTGCACACTTTAGTGAAACGCCGTGTTCTGATGACTCGTACAAACTGCAGCGTCCTCTCAGCACACGGTCTGAGGTTCACACGGTCTTCCATGTGTTCAAGGTGTTCACGGTTTCCACACATTTCAGAGAAAGATCAGATTGTGTGGCTGGAAACTGGATTAATAATCTGGCTCCTTGTTTTATTAGACTGTTGTCACAGAATTGGACTCACATCTTGGACAGAAACTAAAACGAGTGTTTCAGTGGAGGCTGTAAAGATGTTTTAATGATTTTTGGTCAAAGACAGGTCGACGGCTGCGTGTGGCCCCCGGGCCGCAGCTTGCAGACCCCTGGCTGAACGAACGTTGCTGAAGCGGTTTATTAAATCTGTTTTTAAGCCTATAAAAATAGATGTGTGTTACAGTGTATGCACAGTGTGTTTGAAAGCATTAAGGCATATTTAGGCCCTAAAATAAACTCCTCTGTACTCAGCCCCTCTTCACAGATTTTATCATTTTATCTTTAAAGTGAGGTTGTGTGAAGGGATCAGAAAGGAGCTGACACGAGTCTAAAGTTAACACCCAAGTTTTATCATCTAAAGACCAATTGAAGTTTTAAAGAGATGTGAGCAGATTGAAGTTGGTTTTCATATTTTACTTTAGGATCAGTTTAATATTTATGGATTACTGTGCAGAAAACTGAAGCAAAGTGTGACAAAGTGTTCAGCTGCACAACCCCACTTCCAAAATACCTGGAATAAACTGAACAGTGAATATAATCTGTTTTTTTGATCCAACCAAAACCTCTGTACAAATACTTTAATTCTCAGTCCAGCACCATATGTTGCTTTGTTTGGACTCATCATTTATTCTTAAATTGTCCTCTTTTCTGCGTACAGTCTGTCCCAGACCCCTCCAAACAACACTCACCCTGTTTGTACAAGCTGAACATTCACAGAAACTCATTCATTCTGCCGTTAGAAAGGTGAGCAGGGCAGCTTTAGTTCAGGGAGGCTCAGAGAAGCTACTCCTGTTTGACGTCTCCCTTCAACTTCCTCTTGATCCGGGAGTACGGGCTTAGCGTGTCATCCATGATGAAGTCGTACAGGACCCTCACCCAGGACGTGTACTGAGGCAGGTCGTCGTAATACTCCGATGCTATTTCCTTCACCTGCAAAGGAAAAAGTTTTAAATACGGTCATGATGCTGTTTAGACTTTATTTTACCGAGCACCCTGGGTTCATAACACGGGATTGGAGACACCAAGTCACAACAGAAGTCGTCTCAGGGCACTAAACATTATTTATCTGAGGAGCAGACTGCTCTGAGATCAACTCCATCACAGAACTCTCATCTTGAGCAAGCATGAAGGCGACAGTGGGAAGGAAAAACTCATGAGGAAGAAACCTTTAGCAGAACCAGACTCAGAACAAGCGTCGTCTGCTTCGACCAGCTGGGTTTGAGAGGAACAGATACACAATGGCAGGTCGATCACGTTAAGATAGAAATAGTATCGGATGAAAATTATTCAATTTTAACAATTCATTTAAGGAAATGTGGTCAGTTTGTCCTAGCCTGTAGCAGCATAACTCAGGAAACCCAAACCAACCCTAACTATAGGATTCATCAAAAGGAAAGTCTTAATCCCAGTCTTACAACTGGATAATGTGTCAGCCTCATGGACAGAAACTGGAAGTTGGTTCCACAAGAGAGGAGCCTGATAACTGAAAGATCTTCCTCCCATTCTGCTTTTGGAAACTCTAGGAACCACAAGTAAACCTGCAATCTGAGAGCGAAGTGCTCTGTTAGGAAAATATGGAACAATAAGATCTGTAATATAAGATGGAGCTAGGTTGTTGAGAGCTTTGTAGGTTAGAAGTAAGATTTTGAATTCTATTCTGGATTTGTCAGGGAGCCAATGGAGAGAAGCTAAAACTGGAGAGAATGATCTCTCCCACTAACTCCAGTTAAGACTCTGGCAGCAGCATTTTGGATCAACTGAAGACGTTTTAAAGAAGTATTTGGACACCCAGATAATAAACCATTGTAATAGTCCAGTCTAGACGTGACAAATGCATGGACCAGTTTTTCTGCATCATTTTTGAACTTTCCAAAAGGTGTGTTTGGTGCAGGACCAAGACTGGGTCACCAAAAGAACACCCTCCCCACAGTGAAACATGGTGGCGGCAGCATCATGCTGTGTGTGGAGTTGTTTTTGAGGTCTTGGTGAGAATTATGACGAAAAGTTTCAAAAACTTGTTTAACTTGGGCTAAAAACATTCAAGTGTCCTAGAAAGATGAAACTTGTTTTTCACAATGACAAAGGCCACGAGGACACACTCAGATCAACGAAACGATGACTTTGAGAAGGAGATGAAGGTTTTGGAACGCTGAAATCTAGATGTAAATTTGATGAGAAAATCTGTGGGGAGGAAGATTTACACAACAGTAGGCAAATACTACAAGGTGTGTCAGCTGAGAAGAAGACTCCTGTAGACTGAAGGCTGCAATTAAATCAGAAGATGCTTCAACAAACGTAGTTTAAGGGCGTGCGCGTCGTATGTAAACAGCTTGTTATACCTTTTTATTTTCCCCATAACAGTTGAGCTGTATGGGATTTATATCACAGCAAAGGTTTCAAATGACTGCATTACAAAAAGTTGTGCTTTGTTGTGTTTGTAGATACATGTTGCAACGTCTAGTTGCACAAGTTTAGTCTTTGTTTGCTGCGATCAGTTAAAACTGAAGTGAATTTGCACAAAGCCTTAGTTAGGTTGTGTAATGTCAAATTTACACTCCTAGCACATGTTGAATTTCACTGTAAATTATTGCCCCGTGTCGCTCTGCTGCATGAAAACATCCACTGCAGGAACTATTTGAAGTGAGTAAGATCTTTGATTTTTCCTGTCTTCTTTGCCTTACTGTTGTGTGATAAGGCAGAGACGCCTCAGGTGACGCTGTGAGCTTCATCTGGTTTGTTTGTTGGAGGTTAGCTCAGCCTGGGTTACATTTTCGCATAGGCGGAGCCATCTTACCGTTCGTGACGTCTGTGGTCCCAGACAAACCCATGACCTTTTTGTAGACCAGTTGTCACTTATTCAGAGCGGATTTGTCAACTTGGTGACAACGTATACATGAAGTTGATTTAGATCAACCAGAAAGGTCTGAACAGTTGAACTGTTCTTTGTAGCTGTGAAAGCAACCTTCACATTTTATGTTACTGTGAGCTGTATTAAAAAACAGATAAGAGATCTGTGGTTCTGAATTACGTTAGTAAAATGTACACAGAAAATGTTAAAGCCAGTATCTAACTGGGCTGTGACTGCTGGCAACTGGCTGGAACTGGGTAATGTGAGGGACTCTCCTAAAAGTCTAAAAACTTTTGCCAGGGTTCTCGTTTTCCTTGCACGAGTTGCACAGGCTTGCCACATAAATGTTAACATGTTCAAAACACTCGTGACTCATTTCAACTCAAAATAGACAAACCAGTCTCATGTGCACTTGTTTTGACGCAGCTCTAGTGTGCTTGATGGGAGTTCTTTTCTGACAGAAAACACAGCCAGATCTAAAAACCCTCGTTGGTCACAAACACTCAGAACTCAGTGAGACTGAAAGAGGAAATCCACCCAGTCTCTTACAGTTTTGAGTTGCCAACTAGTCCCAAACAGTCGCAGCCCAGATACTAGAAACAAACTGCTCTTTGTCAGTCACACATGCAGAGGTACAACTCGCTCTGTGTCTCAACCAGACCAGAAATGTACATACCATGGGCAGCCTTCGGCCTGGAATGCTGGGGAAGTCGTGGTGCTCATTGTGGTAGCCCACATTGAAAGTGAGCAGGTTGAGGCAGCCATAGTAGGAGTAGGTTTCATGGCCCTTGAGGAACATGTAGTGTTCAGCAATAAAGTGGCCAGAGATGGGGTGCAAGCCCATTCCCAGCATGGAGCCAGCCAGCATGTAAACCACAGGTTTCGCCCCCCACAGCCAATACAGAAGGACGTCAAAGGTAACTTGTAAGGCCACATTAGTCAGCTCCAGCTGAGTTATAGGTTTGGGGTTGATGCAGAGGGGGCGGATAGCATAAAACAGGGGCTGAAGAATAATCCAGATGAACTTGCGAAAGCGTGTGTAAAAGAACCAGCCTTCAAACTCAGTAGGAACATCTACATCAATACCATCCCCTCCCAGGTAGCGGTGATGGTCGAGGTGATATCGCTTGAAGGACGCAGAGTAAGGTAAGCCGACAGGCAGATTGGCAAACATGGCGAAGTAGCGGTTCCACGTGGCTTTGCTGTTTCCAAAGGCAGTATTGTGTGAAATCTCATGAATGGCAAGGGTCATCGAGTGGTTGATGCAGCTGCCAAACGCATATGCCCAAAACAAAACCCATTTCCAGTCCAAGTCTCTGACCAGGTAGAAAGCTAAAAACTGTATCACCACCATCACGGACACGATCCATTTCAGCCTCAGGTCAGGTCCCATTAAAGACTTGATTTCAGGGTATTTGGCTGTAAGAGAAACAAATGGTTAAATTCAGTGTACATTCTTACACTGGTTAGTGAACAGAAAATCAACATATTCTCTAAATCAGCTGCATATAGATAATGTTCAAGAAGAAACTTTGTGAAATTTCAAAGGGTGCCAGTGCAGCTACCGCTGTACATTTCAACACATCAACTTTTTTTCTCTAAAGCTCAATAATAATTTGGGACTTAGTTTTGAAACAAGCCAAGCTGCTGACGTTATGTTTAAACTGCATATATCAAGTGCAAAGAGAACAAGACAGGGTCACCATCGTAACTAAACGCTTGTCTTATTAAGAGTGCTGTCTCACTCATAATCCTACTGAGAAAAATGCCAGATACAATGGAAGTTAATCAGACCAGCTGCTTTTGGCCGTACCAAAAACCAGGCTGAAGCTCATGGGCCCTAAACTCTGGAACAATCTGCCCATCAACATTCGACAGGCCACCTCAGTCTCTATTTTTAAATCTCTCCTCAAAACACATCTGTACTCATTGGCATTTAACACAGTGTGATTTGATTTAGTATTTCATTGTTTCTCATTGTATTTCATGTTTTTATGCTTTTATTGCAGTAATATGTTGTTATTAATATTTGATGCTGTGATCTTTTTTTGGTAAGCACTTTGATAACAGTTGCTGTTTTACATGTGCTATATAAATAAAAGTGACTTGATGAGTGTGATGGTGCACGTGATGCACACTGGGAGGATTAATGGGGGAAACCTGCAACTCTTGTAGTGAGAGACACAAGTTGAACAAAGACAAAAATTAAACTGTAGATGTGTAAAAACCAGAAAACGTATCAAAACGCAAGTTCAGTGGATTTTCTTTGACTTATTTAATGTTTCTACAGTAAAGTATGTCCGAGCTGCAACGCTCCACTTTGGTTTCCTCTTGTTTCACCAGAATCCTGTAGTTCTGTGCAAAATGTTTTGCATTTCCCAATAAACGTGTCCACACACTGCACCGAGTCACATGCCTTCATATATTATTTATTCTCCTTCTTTGTACAGACTAAATGCCTTGCATATTACTGATTCCAGCGTGTCACGTTTGTCTGCAAAGCTCGTGTCAACAACATTCACGGTGCTCTGCTCAGTCGTCTCTTGGAAACAGGAGGAAAATGTTACTTCAGGGAGTGGCGCTTCTATGAATCAGGACGCACGTACAATAAAATGAGCAGCGCTTCTACTTTACAGGAGTTGGAAATTTGATCGTATTTATAAGCATACATCAGAAACTTGGTGACAGCGTTACCACCATGTAAATAACTACTTTCTTCATTAAACCAAACCGAAGCTAAAACCCCGGCGGAAGTAGGACCGTTAGCTTCATCAAGCAGCTAAAGGAAGACATTTTGTGGCTGAATGACTGCAGGCTCCAGCTCGGCGTCATTGAACGGTGTAGGTAAAGTTACGTTTGCAAACAACTCTGTGAAGGAGTCAGCTTCTTATTTGTTTCTACATCGGGATGAATTTGCTAACGGGCAGCTAACTGAACTCACCCAGGATCTCTTTCCTCCGGTCTGCGTGCGGCTGGTCCGTGTACACCCACTCGTAGTCCTCTCGACTCACTCGATTCCCCATATCGTCTGGATTTTTACAACTTTAACTAAAATAAAATGTTTAAAAGTGGCGAGAAAGGAGATTGGTAAGACTACGCCAACGCATCTAACTTTTTATTTCCCTTCCTCAGCCGAAGCAGACTAACTGACTCGGAGGCTCCGCCTCCTCGCAGCGGCGTCGTCACGTGTTCCGTTACTCTGACGTCACTGAGGAGGCCTCTGGAAGTGCAGCCGCTTACAGAAGTTCCTTTACACCAATTTCATTAAAATACTCACTGTAATACTTGGTTTATAAAGACTATATTATATACATATACATATATATATCTAAATAATTAAAGATCGAAAGGG